TTCCTGAACCACATAAATAGTATCAACCAGTGCATCCAGTTCACAATGGAAACTGAAACTGAAGGCCACCTCCCCTTCCTGGATATAGATATTTACAGGAGACCCGACGGTTCCCTGGGCCATAGAGTGTACCGCAAATCCACTCATACTAACCTGTACCTTAACGCTGCGTCCCACCACCACCCTTCCAACAAGCAAGCTGCACTTTCAACATTGGTGCACAGGGCTAGAGCACTGTGTGATCAAGACAGCCTACATGCGGAGTTGGTGCTTCTGAAGGATGTATTCAAGAAGAACGGATACAACAACCGGCAGATCTACAGAGTTCTCAACCATCGGCCCAACGTCAGCCGGCCTGTAGACAAACCGGGCTCAGTCGCCTTCCTTCCCTATGTCGGGACCATATTCAACCGTATCAGCAGAGTGCTGTCCCGACACAACATCAAAGCAGTGGGTCTGCCTCTTAGAAAACCCCCACCGGGAAATGACGCCAGATCCAGAAGGCCACACAGGCCATGACCAACCAACATAACAACCACCCCCACCCCCCTCAGCTTACGGATTAGTGCCCAGCCTTTAACCTTGCCTTTCTCTTCCCTACACAAAAACACGCTTGTCCCAGCTCCCTTCCCCTACCCCTCCCACACTACTGCTTTCACTTGTATACTTGCCCTTCCCCCCTACACTCTCTGCTCTCACATAGCTGTGTATTTCCACATATTCTGCTTTTACCGGTTCTCACGGTCTCTCCACTTGCAGAATTCTTATATTTTTTCTTCTACCCTGAAGATGGAGGCGATATGTTCCTCCGAAACGTCGGTTAACACCACATATACACGGTGCTAAATCCCAGAAGACTGCTTTCTTCATTACAATGGATGATTTATAACACTTGAATTATGTTGTAAATTGCCCACTGTCCGTAAGCTTTTTGATATAAATGACACTTCATAACTTAGCTCTGCTCATATCTGCAGGTGTTTGTCATTATGCTCATAGACATTTCTCATGGTCAGAATGAAAGCTCAGTATTCAAAGGGTTCTAGGTCTGATTTCAAATGCTGCCTCTAAACTCAGAAGTAAGATAAGTGTGAATATAATGACAAAGTAACCACCTGAACTTAGGAGTAGGGCCAACTACTTAAACACTGTACCTATCAAACAAATGTCATAAACTACACAATGGTCAATGTCTAACATAACCGTGGCATATACAAGGGCAGTCTGAATTTAAAGGTACAGCACCAAATATAATGTTTATTTTTCCAGACAGTCACTGTTAGCATTCAGATATTTATGTCATCATTTTACAAGTTTAAACAGTCCTTCAAGGTAGTGTTCTTTTCCAAGGGATGCGAGGTATTGCACAACTGTTTTCTGCAATTTTTCATGAACGATTCTCCTTCATCTTGGTAACAGCAAAGATTTTCAAGCGAAGAAGCCATTCTTTTGCTTTAGTGCTCCTCGGTGAGCAATTTCAGAACCTAGCGAGCAGACACTTTACAGAAGTTTAAATCTGAGATGATTGCATGAACAGTGCATTTTGCAATACCTGTCACTTTAGCAATTTCACAAACTTTGACTCTTCAATCTTCCCTTATCAGACCTTCAACAGTGACATAATTTTCATCAGTGTGTGAGGTTGGTCTGCCTCTGTTTCTGTGGATCATCATTCAGTGTTGTTAGGCCATCTTCATTTTTGTTGCACCACATAGACACTTCCTTTTGGCTGAAAACGTTCTGCCCATAAACACTCACTAACCTGCGATGAATCTCACTGACTCACTCCTTCTGCTTGCAAAAATCTGACCACTGTGCGGACCTCAAACTTGGAATAATTTTCAGTCACATTTGCCATTTTGTTCGCTTGTAAAGTTTAGACATGTGGATGAAGAACGACACTAGCTTGGTTACTTCCCCTCTACCTGACATATTAATACAAGCAAGTGACATCAAGATGTCGCATGCAGGCCATATATAAAAAACACCCGTTACCTTTAATATTGGACCATCTTTGTAGTATAGGAAATCCGCTAACAGGTACTTGCCTTCTACATTTAAATAACAACAATAAGTACAGCAACAAGAAACATTGGAACCATCAATTTCTTAATGATACAAACATGGAAAACTCTTGAATTAAATATGGCCGTTCTCTCAGCACCTTCACCAATACCAGTGATTCCTAGCTACCCATCACTGCTTTTCAAAGTTGACAACTTTTGTGTCTCTGTGCCTTATGTTTCATTTAAGAAGTGTTCAACCCCAACAATGGAAGTGAAGTAGGCAGCTTATCAGAAAGTAAAACTGGGAGAGGGTACTGATAAACTTCAACACTCTTCACCACACTGAAGATCAAAGAGAAAATACCATCAGCTGTTCTATGTGATGAAGACTGACAATACAGAAATGAATGCAGCATGTTGTGAATGAAGATTTGGTATTCATTGCTCTTTAAGTAGTTCTGCTAGAAAAGACTGGCTGGTGTACCAATCCAGAGACCAGAGATCAAGTCAAAAGCCAACCAATTTGAGGAACAATTAAAAAAGATGAACTTTCATTATCCCAAAAAGTGGTTTCATTGCTTTAAAGAAGAAAAAAAGCATTAGTATGCACAGCACATCTGGCAAATTGGCTGCAGTAGACTCAGATGTGAAGGACTGGGTTTAAGTTCTAAAAAAACTTATGTAGCAGTACCTACCCTTGGATATCAACAACACAGCTGATGTGAGACTATATTATTCCAACAACATGAAACTACTTTGTCAGGAAATTATAGTCACTTCACTTCAAGGACAATAAAATTCTCGAGTGCTCATACAAATCAAACAGAAAAACGTGGAAGACATCCAAGCTGTTCCTTCAGTGGCTGAGTGTCTGATGCAAAAGGGGGCCCCACAACAGAAAGGTTGCTTTATTCAGTGTTCACTGTTCTGCACATCCTTCTGTGGAGCTCCAGAATACTGAGCTAATATTTGTGCCAACAGACACCACTAATTTATTATTACCTTTGGGGTGTGTGAAGATTTCTGAAACATAATTTCAGGTCAATGTTCATGAGTACCATCATAATCAGTTGTTCTGTCTTCATCTACAGCTTTGCTAAGTCCGTGAGCTTTGATCTTGCCTGTTTTTTGTGTGCTGTGTGATGTACTTGAGGGTGGGTACCTCACTCTTTGACCTTGCTGACATCTGACCCACATTAGCTTTCAACCAATCCAATCCTTTTATTCATTTCTAGAATTCTCAAAACAAGGCGTTTATGTACGTAGGTAGGCTGAAAAGTGATGCACACATGCTTGTAGAGCGCGAACGAAATGACCTTCAGAAGCGTGCCAGGTGGCATGTGGAAGTAACATTCCCCCCTCAATACGCATGCACAGGTTTGAGGTCGTTGTGTTCATCCAGTGTATTTCGAGAAGTGGAAGTATGGAGACATGTTCTAGTGCTGTCAACGCGAGTTAAACAGCGTGCTGTTATCGAATTTTTAACTGCTGAAAAAGTGACTCCTACTGAGATTCATCGTCGTTTAAAGGCTGTTTATGGTGATGATGCTGTTGATAGGTCTACTGTAAATCGATGGGTAATACAATTTCGTGGTTGTGAGCCTGGAAAAGCCATAATTGTTGATGAAACACGCAGCGGACGTCCGATCACTGCCACAGACGATAATCATCGCAAACTTGTCGACGATTTGATTCAAAATGACCAGCGAATCACTCAAAAGCATATCGCAAACCATATTGGAATATCCAAGGAACATTACTGAACATTGTTCATT